TAATCAAAATCAACTGGTCTCTTGTCTCAGTTATCGTTATGAACCTTTTGCAAATGTATTTATGAGAACAAAATATAAAATATATACAGAAAACAAGTCGAATTAACTTTGAGGCCCACCTTAACAATTTGATTTTGAATAAGTCAAACAACTGCACAGCTAAAGGACATTTGGCATTGATATTTAAATTTCGTAGGGCTATTAAACTAACAAAGAAACGAATACAAGTCCTATCCTATAGATATTAGGACCTATGTGTTATGATTCAAATCAGTTGAGCAGCTGTTTCGTTAGCCCCTACATTCTTCTGTCCTTGACTCTCTGCCTCATATCTAAGCCGTCAGCAGAACTCAATACATGGGATGCCAAGTTGGCGGCTTGCCCCACCATGGAATCGTAAATCCTTTTAAGTTTAAGAAGCGTAGATGTTCTTTTCTGGTGTTCAGAGTTGTCAAGGTCATCCTAGCTCGAACACAAAAATATGTATGTATTTGGAGGGTTTTTTAGGCTGCAGATATAAGCGTTAGTTACTCCCTTTGTCAACATCTACAGTGCAATTTCACTCAATTACTGGTATCTTTATGGGCAAGACACAGACTTGATGGGCTATCTTGTTCTCTCTGGTGTTGTTTTATTTGAAATCAATTACTTATACGCCGCTTGGCTGTCAAAGTACATTTAAAGGCATAGTACTTTACTAAATTGAACATATGCGAAGAAGTCAGCAGCTCGTCATTAAGAAAAGTTACTTTTCTCTATTATAAATTTCGTTGCAGCTCTTTATTGACTTTACGTCATTTTTATGAGATAAACGTTATCATTAACTAAATGTAATACATAATATTTTCTTACGTCACTTGACACTTTTCTAAAAGCTACGAGTATACTGCAGGCTCTGCGAGTGTGCGTTTCAAACGAACACTTTACGTAAGTTTATATATGTTGGCCAGCGACAAATGTCACTGCACATACCTGTCTGCCCTTTAGCCGTGTTTACAACCGTTACCAAAACGTTCGAGCCCATATAAAACTGCACTGTTAGCTGCAGCGGCGCGCTATTTTATTCAAATAAAGCGGTGCTGTTTTTTTTCAACACATTTATGTACACTCGTATGTGTGTGTGTGTGTTTCGATTCACAGTTTTCATTTATTAACTAATTTAGATTTACGTAATCTCGAACGGTTTACCTGCCTCAGCCCGTCATGATTACACGCAACCAAGCAAGCAACCACACACTCGAGGTCAATGATCAGAGAAATTTACTTTCAAAAAAATCTGTTTTTCAGTTTGACTTTGATGGTGGCTTCGACTGAAAAGCGCTCGGGCACTGAGCGGAAGCTTAAACGATTGTAGAAATTAATTTATAATAGTCAAAAAAAAAAAAAAAAAACAAAAAAAAATTAAATTCGAAATGAGAAAACAAAAGCATTTAAAAGGCTTTTGCAATAAGCACCACTTATTGATCATGTGTGTGGCTTTTACAAACTCACAAGCTCACGAGTGTGTGCAAGTGTGTGTGGTAAAGAGTGTCTGGTTGGGTGTGTATGTGTTCATAACTATTATTGGGCACAACAAGTTGCATGGGCGTCAGCTCAGCCATAGCATAGTCACAGCCACAGCTTCAGCTTCAGCCACAGCCACAGCCCAACTCATCAAGTCAACGAAATAGCTTGATGATGACGACTATGAATAAGTACAGCTACCCACCTGGGCATAATGCATTTTGCCACACTTGAAATCGCAATACAATGAATACATCTGCATAATTAATTCCCACTAACGACAACGCCGTCGACGCAGAAGACGACGATGTCGGCTCAGACATAATGAGGTGGATGTTTTGCACTAAATTGAAGGCAACAAACGTGCGGAGGTTGTTGACTTCGTCTTAACTCTTTTTGGGGGACCGCTCTTTGCGTGTGTTTTTTTTCTTTTCCACTTTTGAGCCAAAGCCCGCTTCATTGTCTTGCATCTGTCTTGTCTGTCTGTCAGTCTGTCTGTCTGACTGCCTGTCCCTATGTAGGTGATTGTGATTACACTGTTTGGGGCAGCTGTCGTCTCTGTGCACCACCAAAATAAAAGCCACATGCCACACAGATGTATTTTTAATTATAGTCATTTGAAAACTCAATATTTGCGCTTTGAGAGCATTGCCATTTCCATCGCAATCGCACCCCCTTAGCCTTATCTGGGTGTTGATTTGCATTGCAGGTTGGCCAAAAAATTGCACAAGTTACACAATAAGCTGATGTATTTTTAATTATGTTTGCCAACACGCACTTTCGTTGAGCAAACTCCAATTTGTAAGTGTCATTAAACGCAGCTGTCCGCGCTACCTTCCCCCAATGCTTTGGCCCGGGCCCAGGGCCCGGTTTGCTTTTCGGGCCAAGTAACCCAAGGTCCATCAGCATGAGCGCATTATTGTTATCCGAGCATCTACAGCAGCAGCATTGGCGGCACGGCCTTATCAAAAGGTATCCAGTTTTTTTTATTCCTCTTCTCCTTTTTATAAAACGAAATCAAATTGATTTCAGTTTCTTTCTCACCATAACTTAAAAAAAACGCATTGTTGTTGCCAAAAAAAGAGAAGAAGAAGGAAAATACATATAAAGACGAATCAAAAAACACGCCTGCAAAAACTGGGTTATAACCTTGAAATATACAAAAGAAACGTTTAATTTCGAACTGTCGATAAATTCAGCTCAATGCGATGCGATGCGACAGGCTTTGACACAAAGAGGGCGCAGCTCTGGCACCAAAGAAAGCCCTAAAAATGGGGACAGCAGCAGTTACAACAACAATCATTAACTATAGCTAAACATATGCTAATCAATGCTGTGCTTAAAACCGATTGAATTTGTTTTACAAATGAGCCGCGGCCCAAACCGGGCTGCTAAGTCCAAAAAAAAAAAAAAACTTGCGTGTTGAAATCGCACAAAATTTTCCAAAAGCCTCAAACTCAGACGACTTTGCCACCACCTCCTAGGCTGTTGCATTTTAAATTGCCAAAGGTCAAGCCATAACGGTGCAACATCAGCGTCATACCCATTGCGTCGTCTTCATCATCATCATCATCATCACCATCAGCAGCAACAGCAGCAGAAGAAGCAACATTGCATTGCCCCACAGTCTGGCTCTGACGACAAGAAAAAGAAACCGAACAAAATACAGCTATGCGTGTGTGAGTGGATTGTGAAAAATTAAAAGAAAAAATTAGCCATGATTGAAACAAAAATTTAACAAATCGACAAGAGCCGTCGAGAGTGAAAAAGAAGCAAGCGAAACTGGATAAATAATTTGAACAACCGCGCACTGAACATGCAAGAAAAAGAGCCAAGGTCATTGCGAAGCTGCTGGCTCGGCGGTGGTGGGGACAACTGTCCAGACTCCGAGAAAGAAATGGCTAAAAGATTTACACATTTATGTTTGTTACAGCCAGACACGCAGCTAGCCAGTTAGCCAAACCGCAATGGCCGTCTGCTATCCAGTGTATAGTATATATAGTAGTATATCTTCTTTTCGTTTTTTTTTTTTTCTTTTCTTGGAAGTGCTGATTGGCGCAAGTGAGCGGTAGAACCACTTTCAACTTTTAGACTGTATTGTGGTGTATGGTGTATGGTACTTGGCCAACAACGTGCAGTTGATCCATTCACGACAATACTGCTGTAGCTGCTGATGATGATGGCGATGATTATGATGGTGATGGTGATGTTGCTGGTGCTGGTGCTGTTGTCGAAGATCGCCGGCGTAGATTCGCAAAAGTGCTGCGACGTGCTGACTACTGTCTACCCTCAAACATGTTTTGCGCACACACACGACACTCCACGATTCGACAATTCCACAATTCCACAATTCGAAAAATCGACAAACTGCTGAAATCCGGTTGCTCAAAAATGTGTTAAGTGGGACGAGCAACGAGCAACGAGCAACGCAGCTCCTTTATAAACAACATTATTAACAATGCTGACAAGTGCCGGCAAAATGCCAAAACAAAAACAAAAACCACAAACACAAAATCAATTAACAACAGCAAGCAAATCCAATAAAAAACATAAAAAAATTGAAAAAAGAGAAGTGAAACAAATAAAAAAAAAAATCATCGGCTCGAGCAATCGTTTCTTGTGGCCCCATTGGCAGGTGTTGATCAATAAAAATGCAACTGGCCCCGGGTTTTGTGAGGCCTACTCCACTGCCCATTACGTAAGAGGCATGCCAAGGTGTGTCCAAACACACAAGTCATATGTATATTTTGAGAATCTGTCGTCCCACATTGCACAAAATGTATTGCCCAAGCCTAAACTTGAACTATTGACAAATAGCGAGAGAGCGCTGCGAGAGATGATAATCATTGCTGGAAGCATGGAAGAGTGTGCTTATCACCCAGTTCAGTTGCTGTCTGCCCACTCGGAAGCGGCAACTGAACTACCTCAAGTTCAGCAAATTGGGTTATCTCTACACAGCTAGAAAAGTTGGGATCTGAGTAATCCAAGAGTAATCCCCACATTTCAACCTGAGATTTGAGACGATTTTGCAAAACGAATCGTTAAATTTTTTATTATTTACGAATATTTTCAAAATGCGCTTTTGTAGAAAAACGAAAAAGTGCAGTAATGAAACCCTTTTCTTGGTTAATTATATTATTCTGAAACAAATGTATTTTAAGGTAGTTTTCTGAAACTGGAGGACTAGATTGAAAGAGGTGCTCGTTTTCTTTAAATAAATAGGGTGCGCAATTTTAACATCGTAAGTAACGTGCTTAGCTAAAGCTTGATACAATTATTTAATATTCTAATAACAATTTCTGATTGAACAGATCGTATATACAAGTAGTTGATATTTTGTCCATTTGTTCAAAGTCCCTTTACTGCTAGGGCAGTCTCAGTTTGATGAACTTTTCGAAATATTTTTGTAATTATATGCTTTGCTCGCACTGTGGAATTGTAGATTTTTTTCGCAGTGGCTCGAGCTAAAAAATTGACCAATGCGAGATAAGGATTAGCATAAGTCATGCTCGAGTATTTGAGAAGTTTGGCGAGTGGTTCAGTATTTGCTGGCAGTTGGAACGTGATAGATACCCAAAATATACTAATTTGAAAAGATGATGATAGGCCTGTGGTTGCTTTTTTTTGCATTGCTTGGTGGCACATTTTTGGAAACCACTGCGCTCCTAAATGGCGAAAAGAGGGTAATCGACAAGTGTTTGGAAAGCTATGGAGGACTAACGTCGGATAGCGGCCAGCGTCTGCAAAGCTATACCGAATGGTCGGAGCATTATGAGGAGATTCCATGCTTCACACGCTGCTATCTCAACGAGATGTTCAATTTCGAGAACGACGGCTTCAATGAAAGCAAGATTGTGGCGCTATTCGGAAAAGCGACCTACGAGGCATGCAAGCCCAAATTGGAAATGAGCAATGGCCAGAGGGGCAGTTGTGAGCATGCCTACAGCGGCTTTCACTGCATTGTCAGCGTAAGTGATAAGAGTGCATTGACCGCTTCAATGACTATCAGGCTCATAATAATATTAATAAAAATTATAAATAAATATGTGTTTGCTTGTGTGTGTGACAGCTGGAGAACGATCCATTCATCTTGATTGCGAACATGCCGAATATCACGGACACTGCCAAGTCGGCGATGAAGGAGTGTCTTCTCGAGATCGATCAGGCGGAATGGAAACGCATTTCTGAATTTTCACAGTTCCCCGTCCAGGAGCCAATACCCTGCTACACCCGCTGCTTCATCAACAAGCTGCAGCTTTTCAACGAGCGCAATCGACGCTGGCGACTCGAAGATATGCGCCGGGAGTTGGCCGTCCCACTGCCCAATGCAAATGTACGCGGTTGCCACAGACTACGTGCACGCAATCCCTGCCTCACCGTCTACCATCAGTTCACCTGCTATGTGATGGCCAAATAGGAAAACTCCAATAATTTGACAATTTTCAAATTTCTATGATGAGTTGTAACGAGAAAGTTTGATGAAATAAAGTAAACCAATCCACCGTTGTGTTATCTACAGTTTATTTTTTTGATAAAATGTAAGTCTTCTTTTCACATTTACAGGAGTGGGTACCGGATAATGCGGAGTGGAGCCCGCTCCTCCCATTCCAATCATATTTGCTTCTGAATACAACATCAATGCTCAAGAAAATCAAACAATTTGAACAGTATCTATTCACCGATTTCAGTTTTTAAAATAATATTTCAAGCACATCTTTTCGCCTGAACTTGAACTGAAGAAAAGTTAAACTACTCTCTTATTGTGAAGTAAGAGTGGACATTGCAGATCTTTTTCTGGGAAATGTAAAAAAACTGTATGCAGTCAGTCAAGATCTTTTCACTTCAACAACTTTTAATATCTTTGAATTGGACTTTGCCGATATTGAATGCGGGCAGACCCCATTTCCTCCACCTATTTGAAATCCCCATTAATGCAGTACTGCTGATTATTTAAAGAATAGGTTCATCCTTTTTTAAGAGTAGTGCCGACTTATTTTATAAGTACTATATATAATACATACAGTCAATGCTATGTTAAAATCGAAAGTGTTAACTAGTTTGCAGTTGCTTTTGTCGTCGTCGTCATTGTTGCTGTTGTTGTTGTGTCAATAGGCTCTGCTTCCAAGTTGCCGTTTAGGCGCTCCCAGCAGAGATATTCCTCATACATCCAGGCACACTTATTGTCGGCACGCAGACGCTGCTCCTCGCTGCTGCGACAGGATTCAAAATCGTGCTGGTCGTGGCGACTGGGTCCAAAGGCCTGATGCCAATTGCTCAGCTGCCAATTGCCCGTCTTGTCGTAGAAATGCATAGCACCTGCAAAGCATTCGAAGAGGCAGGGAATGCTCTCCTTGGGTCGCAGCTTGGTGTACTGCAGCAGCTCCACGTTGCTGGCGTTCAGCTGGCGGGCGCATTGAAGCAGCTTTGTGTAGCTGGTGCCTGCATGCGTTTCGGCCTGCTTGAGGCAGCGTAGGCCCCGATAGGCATAGGTGCAGCCATCCCGCTGCTTGCGCTGCAGCTCGTAGCGACAGTAGTTGTAGATATCGGCACCCAGCTCGTCCACCAGACGCTGCTTCCGCCACTTGTTGGCGTCGATGTCGAACCAGCCTTTCTCGTGGGCGAGGCAGCGCATCAGGCAGGGCAGCTCCTCGCTGCTCCAATCGACATAGCGCTCAAGCTTTTGCAGATCGGCGTCTATGTGCTCCGGTGTGCTCAGGGTGCGCAAACATTTCTCCAGAATTTTGGCATCGCCGGCCAGATCGGCTAGGCTCTGTAATACTCTTTAGTAACTACATCATCGTTTTTTAAAGAATAACGTACCGCTGTGCCCAGGACTAGCAAGCTGATGAATAATTGACAGAAAGTTCCAGCAAACGATGACATTGCACCGCGCGCTGCTCTCGCTTAGAATGCACAACGAAAACTGCTGCTCCGAATGAGACGCGCACTTATCGCTGGTGGCGTCGATTTCTCGCGGCAACTGATGCATGCAGGCGGGGTTATCAGAGGCGCGATTAACGCTACAAACAAATTGCAAAGCGACTTAGTCCGATTAATACAAAAAGTGCTTTCGTTAAATCTCTAGATTCGAGCAAGTCCCACTATGGAAAGATAACAGAATAATTCGTCAGATCTGTAGAGGAAATCATCGATCAAATGGGGAAACTCAACATTTCCTAACAAGGTATTGAAAAACAAGCAAGAGGACAGCTACAAAATCGGTATGAAGATTACCTTTTTTTTAAACAGAGTACTCGTGTCAAGATAAGTTGTTGCTATTTACATAACGACATTAATTTTAGATGAATCAGCCTGCTTAGAGAACTCATTTTATTGTAGTGTATTTTTTATTTGACTAATCCAATGACAGGTTTTTTAATTTGCACTGCAATATTGAAGCTTTTTTCCGGCAGCGATTGCATAAGTTAAAATTATAAAAACAGAACACACGCGACGTGTTTCTTACGCGTTGTGTAGAAAAATCATTATTTTCCAATGCAGCTCCGATGCAGAGTATATTCTGAATTTGAATTTTTCTCTCAGTTCTTCGCTTTCTACTGAAATAAGCGTTAAACTCATTCTCTGCCATCACTCCTTATCGATCACTTCCATGGAGGTTATCGGCGGCAGGTTGACGCCACCGAGTTCAATGAATGCAGCCTCTTGCATGCCCGCACTCTCGGCTTGTCTTAGGTCAGTTTTGTGAATAGTGAAGGAGATATTCTTTATTGTCTTTTTTTAGCTAGCATACAGAGTTGATATCACAAATGAGACGCTTAGGCGTAGGTTTTGCGCACCACGTGGCGATTGATGGGCAGCCAACAGGAGAACACTCGATTGGCCCAGGTGCAGGTGTCGGACTCTGCCTCGTTGTGGTCAATGCACTTCTCCAGGCCATGACGCACCGACTCCAGATCCTTGTGATTCTTCGCCGTGAACTGGGCAATAATGAATTTCTCATCGAAACCCTTGCGCTCGTTGAACAGACCCATTTTCTCCACCCAGCACTTGACGTAGCAGCTGGTGCGTCGGTGTTCTGGGAACTCGTAGTTCAAGAACTTTTCATAGATATCATCTGGCACACGGAACTCCTCGTGGCACTCCTCGTGCGCCCGTAGAGCATCCTCTTGAGTGCGCAACTGATATTTGGCCGAGGACTGCAAGGCATAAGATTTATAGTGGAAAATAATAAGTTGTGGCAAAGAGACAGCGGGAGGAGATGGCCTTACCTGACCCACGACTACGCAGAGGAGCAAAAATAGAGCATGGAATTTCATTTTGCCGTTTTCCTTTTACTGTTGACTGACTTCTGGCAGGGCTTGCGTGCGAATGTGCCAACAGGCCGCGCTAAGCGACTAAATCGCGTAAAGATTTTTCATAATTTTTATAGCCGCTGCTGCAGTCGACGTCGACGACGACGTCACCGTTGCCTTCGATGCTGCTGCATATGCTGAAACGCCTGACAACGCTTTGTGTGCTGTCGTAAGATAGAAAAAAAATTAAAAAAAAAAAAAACCGAACAGGCTGGCTAACTGAAACCAAACCAAATAACACGCCAAACTCGTTGGCACGCTTGCTTGCTCGCTAGCTCTCCGCCTGGCCAACACTTTTGGCGGTTGGTGCTTGGCGCTTAGAGCTTGGAGCTTGGCGCTTGGCGCTTGCTGGTACCCTTGCGTCAGTTTTAGTTTGCTCTTTAAAAACGAGCAAGTAAAGTGAAGCAGCGGCGGCGACGGCATTAAACTGGTTTGACAACGGCTATACCCTAGACTGGGGCAGAGGCTGTTGTTGTTGCTGTTGCTGTGGCTGGGGCTGCTGCGGCTGTGGATGTGGCTTCGATGGCTGCGGTTTCGGGACCGCTGTCAACGGCATTGTTGGGCCTGCTGCGTCTACCAGGCGTTATATAATCGATGGCGGCCGTATAATGGTTACGTTTTGTTTAAGCCAATTAAACGATTTGTTTTCATGCCACAAATTCACTTGGCCTGCGCCACACATTTGGACCCGATGCTGCCTTTATTGTTGTTGTTGTTGCCATTGCAGTTGCAGTTCCAGTTGTCGTTGTCGTTGGTCATGGCAAGCTGCAAGTGAAAACAGTTTTTTATGCGTCTTGTTGCACAAAATTCTAACACCTCGTCGCCACTTCCGCCATGCAATGTCAACCAGTTGGCCGTACAGTTTTTTACATTGCTGTTCAATTTTATTTATTATTTGACACAATGCACGACTGCAGCTGCCTAAATAAATTAAATAAATAATTCAATCACATTTATTTATTACAAAATAATTTGATCGTTTTGCGAACATTGGCACTTTAGTAATTAACGGCCATTTGTGTGCTGGATGTGTTGTCCGTGTGGAGTGCTGGTAGATTTACAGATTTGGCAATCAAATTCGATTTAATTTAAAGATCGATTTTAATTAATTACGCTTCAGAAAACTATAGGAATTTATATTGAATTATTCAATAATATATTGAAAATGCACACGTATTTTGATTATCTATCTGGAATGTGTTTGGTTTGAAACGTTATTCTCTTGGACAAGATGAAGCCCTGAATGGTTGGCATTTGAAGTTTAAAACGATTCAAGTTTCAACTCTACGATAGGTCCACTAGTAACCTTCATTGTGGTTAAAGAGGGCGACTATTATAAGTAATCATATGGCTCCGCATTTTTACGAATGTAAATAAGTCTAAGGCTAAAGGGTGCGGTTAAGTTGCGGTCCAGCAGATCAAATTTCCCCCAGAGGACAATTTACGCTGCTGTAATCTACTTCTACCCGAATATATGGAATCCAGGATTGGAAAATGACTGCGTCGAACCGCAAAAGTGTCCTTCAGAACATTCCAGCTTAATAATGAATGAACCTGAATCTGGTGCAAATCAACTGCCATACCAGCAAACAGACTGACCTGAAAACCCGCAATAATAATAGCCACAATAAGCAGATCCAATCCGATAAGATTTGTTCTAGGAACCTGTATCCTGATGGCATCAGGCATCATTATTTACTGTTGTCGAGTGAGAACTAAGGATTAAAATGTAAATACTTATAAAAAACAAATATTATTCGATAACAAAAACAATTAATCACATACATCAGCACTGCATGTTGTGATATTCGATTGAAAAATCGGTATTGGATTCAAAAATGTATATACTATACTTCTTTTTTTTTGGATTATTATAAATAAATCGCTTCATCTTTCATATTTCAACACATGTAAATATTTTTAAAGCGGTCACAGCTGTTGAACAAAAACTGCATGACAAAAACAAAAAAACGAAGGAAATTGTTAACTAAAAATGGCAATTTTAAAATGCTGCCATCGCCTCACCCATAAAGCCTTTCGCCTCTATTGCGACTTTTTGCGCAATTTTGCGACTTTCGTTTCAATTATTGTTGCAAAAATTGTCATAAATTTAACGAAAACTGGTGCTTGTTGATGGGCGCGCTACTCCCATTCCATATAAAAGTTATGTATTTATTCCAAAGTGATAAAATGTTTGCAAAATGCCCGTAAAATAAAGACTAATATACGTATGTATATTTATTTATGCTGCCAGTTTTTGTGAATTTTATAATTCGTTTATTTTCTCTTGCAAGTGACGCGTCTTTGACAACCAAAACTAATATCAACAACTTTATTGTTGTTTTCAAATCATTTCGGGAGAAATACTTTATGTTTGTGGTGAGTCTAGCTGGAAATGATAATATCTATATCAGATGACTAAATCATGTAGCTTGCTACCAGCAATATGATTTAAAAACAGTTTTTGTTTTATAAAAATAGTTCATTCATGAATATGGAGACCAAATTGCATTTTAGGAATTTTGTCGTAATATCTGATGGTGTTGATTTATGTACGATCAAATGCAAAAGAAGGGTGAGAAACAGTAGTGTAGAGCTTGCGGATAATAACCATGGAGGACTAATGTTTTGTTATAAGACAAAATAATAACAATATAATAGTTTTCAGTAAGCGATTAGATAAGAGTACGGAAACAGTATCGTATAAAAAAGAACAGAGATCTCTTTTCAAATACAGTGGTGAGTAAATAGTTACGATAATAAAACCGTTTATTGCTATAAAATGAAATTAATATTAAAATATTCAAATTAATCAGTGCTTAATGAATTTTACAAATTTTAAATTGGCGCTGCATTAAAAAATGTTCAAACCGCAAACCTTGGCCAGAATGTAATTAGCCTGTAAGCTGTTCTGACAGCTACAGAAATGCTTAAAAAAATATTCATATAAAGAGTTTAAACCTAAATATTCAAGCTATGGTTTTGTTGGCCACAATTTATAATTTGCTAAAGTTTTTGTTATGTTTTAAAAACTTTTAATGGAACAGCTGTCAAATTTATAAAACTAAATGGCTCATAACAGGCTGTACGTATGTGGATTGGCCGAGGCGAGAATGAAATGTTTTAAATGAAACTTGAAAATACAGACAACTAGGCCCTTTCTTACCTTCTTTGTTTTGGTTATGCACAAATTTTCATTGCCATGGAAAATGAAACACATTTATTATTGTTGCAGGCCACAAGAATACAATAAAAATTGGCAAAAAATTACAATTCAAAACCGCATGCAGGATGGTTTTTGTGTGTCTTTTTGGTCAACAAAAGCCAAATGCAAACTCAATTGCCCAACATGCACGAAGGCTACGCCACAGGATATCCTGCTGGCGGCAATTTTAGGCATATCGAACGCCTTGACCAGCAACAGAAACCAAAGCAAACAATGAAATTTTACGGCCCTTGAACAAAATGCAACAACAATAACAAAATGCACTCAACTAGTCCACGACACTAGCCTACATACCAATCTATCTATGTATGTGTGTGTGTACTAGTGCATATGTATTTGGAAGGCGTTCGATTCGATCTATAACCTGTCCCACCTATAAATCAGAAATTGAGCTGTGGTTTCACGTTTGTTCCCCTTTGTTTCTCTCTCTCTCTTTTTCGATTCTGGTCATATATTATGAACTCATATTAAAACATTTTACACACAATTTCGGTGCAGTCCCATCTAGCCGGAAGCTGAGAGCCTCGAGCATGCGGCAAATGGAAGCATGAATTATTATGCACCTAGGCGTATACGCAATGTTTAATTTTCAACTCGAGTGGCGCGCTCCAGACATAAATTCTGCCGCCGTGCACATTACAAACGACTTGTTCAATTTTTCTATATTTCTATGTGTTGTCTTTTTTTGCATCCCAAGCTCTGCCGCTCGACTTCAAAATTTATTTTTCTGCACACCCAACACACACATCTAAACACACGCACACACACACACACTCTTGTGCACGTTGCACTGACCAAAAGTAGGAAATGCTAAAGCAAGAAAATATGTGCAAGCTCGTACGAGTTTGTCGGGGTAGTTACTTTTTTTTTGTTGTAGTGGAAGGGAGGGGAACCGGAGGCAGGGGCATTGCGTGCCCAGGGCTGGACGTTGGACGCCAGTACCAAGTACTCGTACACATGTAGAAAACTAACAATGCATAGAGTGTTCAGCAGGCAGTACGTACACTGACAAAAATCAGTACAGTGAATTGAAGTCAAAGCGCTTCTTAAATCTTCTTATGTGTGTAATACTTATCAACGAATGTTTTCAAATGGGTTTAAAGAAATCATGAAGTGGTGACTATATTTATGCTTTGTCTATTTGTAATTCATTTTCGAACTGTACTAATTATATTATGGGCACCATTTTGTTCTCAACTGGGTATTTTCGAAAGTCTTTATGACAAATACAACTATTGTACGCGTATATGCATGCAGAAGAGAACTGTAGCTTTGTTCACAATATGTATGGAGCTCCAAGCCAACATCTCGGTCACGATCGAGGAATTGGATTACCTTCCTACCAGTTCCAATTACAGACTAATGTCTTACCACATAAATAAAGGTTAAAAATGTAATAGAATAACTAGAAAAAGGCAAATTTTGAACTACCAATGAAAAGAATGAAATCAAATCCGATTAAGTAGAAGGAGAAATATTATCATTCCGAAAAGGTTTCAACAATTCTTTCTCCCAGTTCAGATCGACTAAGTTTTCGGTATTTTAAACAGAAAACCGAAATTAATTTCCTCTGCGGAGTATAAGTACGTGGAAGTCCATTTTCAAAGCATTGTTCCTTTTCTTTAAGTGTAGTGACAGGCAGGCTGGTATTGCCCGGTGGCTGCGTTGTCGTCGTCGTCGTCATCATCAACAGCATCGCAGGAGTAGCAGCAGCAGCAGCAGCAGCAGCAGCAAAAATTTCAGCCATTTGTCCTGCATGCT